GGAGGATCTGCATGTTATTTGTTTCTGTTCTTGATTAATTTCTACAGGGTTATGGGACTATTGACCCCCGCAGAGATTGAAGATTTCCATCATGAGCAGTACCACGGCAAGGAGAAGAAGTGGTGCTGGCTAACACGGTCAACTCGGACCTTGAGGGCGAACCGCAAAACTCATCCTAGCAAAGGAAGAAGCGGTCTCGAGGCCGGCCAGACTCAAAGCCGAGGAAGAGACAAAGAATCGATGACACCGCCGTAGCAGAGGACCGGTTACGATGTACGGCTCTCATTGAGATGCGATCATCAGACTTTTGGGCTAGGTCAAAGATGAAGGCCAGGAGGTTGATTCCAAAAGAGGATAGTAGCATAGAGAGTAGGAGGGCTGCGTTGAGAGGTCGTCTTGTGCAGGAAGCAGGGCCACCGAAGAGGGCAGCCAAAGAGAAGGAGAAATCGGTTGGGAAGAAGCCCCGCATTTTAGAACAACGGTCGACGCCTGTTGAACCACCACGAGCTTCAAAGAAAGACAAGGGTAAGGCGGTCCTAATTGAGGAAGTTTCCTTGAGGCAGAATGAGGTTCCTTTGTAGAGCATCCGGATGAAGATTCCTCAGGAATGGGCCGCTGAGGTACTGAAGATGTCATCAGATACTGAGGAGGACCCTATGGCATTGGAGGAAGTTGCGGCGAAGGCCGTAGAAGACGTAGCAGCAGCCGAGAGTGAACCGCCAAAGGTAGCCTCACCCCGGACCTCCACAGACACATTCATACTAGAGACGGGTGAGGAACCCTCAGCGGAAGAGTCACAGTTGTCAGTCCTAGGTGCCGCCAACTTGTTGTGTGTGCAGGTACTTCCGTTGCTCCAGTACCTCGACCGGAAGCGGGAGAAGTATGCAGAAGGCCGCACCAATGAGACCTATGTGGAGATAGTGCATAACCAGACACGGACCAAGGTAGCGATGGCGGCTAAGGTCGCCGCGAAGAAACGTAAGAGTCAGCCGACAGATCAAAGTACCAAGCACTTCAGAAGAGGCTAGGTGAGGAAGTTGAGAAGCGAAGACGATCGGAGCAAGTCAGCGAGGGTCTTCGCAAGGATGTGGAGATAGCCAAGTGCGCAAATGTGGACCTCTTGAACAGGATGGATGCATGTAGTATCGCGTACGACGCCGAGTCATTGAAGATGAATGAGTTATCGGCTAGCGCAAAGATGAAGAAGCAAGAGTACCAAATCGAGTTGGCGGTGAGCGCGAAGAAGCTGACTAAGTATGAAGCTGCGCGGATCTCGGACTTAGAGCTGATTGAGAAGTTAGAAGCGCAGTACGGTGAATTGAGGACGCAACGGTCGCAAGTTGAAAAGTAGTTATGCGAGGTGGAAGCAAAATTGACGGAGGCCGAGGGGAAGAATCGGCAGTTATCAGAGAAGACGCGTGATGCTTTAACTGCAAGAGTGGAGCGGTGTTTGCGCGGGTATGTGTTGTGGTAGATAGAATCCCACAACGGACTTCGGTTACGCGAGATTGAGCATCGTACAACCAAATTGATAGCACGAAGTGGACGGAGGCATCATCGGTTATCCAAGAAGCTCGAGTCGTATCTTACGAGATCGCGGGACGCGGTAGCGAATCTAGAGGTAGACTTAGCAATCGTTTTGAGAAGATTAGGTTCAGAGCGGAAGTTAGAGGGAGCGGCAACTGCCGACTCCGCAGGCGTAGGACCTGTTCGCTGCTCGCATCAGAGCAGTTGACAGTTTTGGTAGTTAAGAATAAAGTAGTCCAAGGCATTGGACTTGAGGGTCTTTTCTCAATTTAGTTTCTTAGTTTCGGAACTCTGTATTCTCTGCATGTTTGTTAGTTGAGTGTGTTGGTCACCGCGTGAGAGGTACTTTGGTTTGACAAAGATACCGCATCCAAAGTAGGAGCCCCAATTTGAATGTTCTGAAATAGCGATTGGCTAGTGACAGGATTCAAGCAAATTCATAATGGGTAGTTACCTGCAGTTCCTCTTAGTGTACTACTTGGAAATCCCCCCCCCCCCCCCTAATCTTAAGTTGAGGTCCCAATCGACCTCAGAGTTTTGCAATTACTTGTTTCAGGTATGTGTGTGTGCTTTCCGTTGCATTGTGTGTCCTCAGAGTGACCTCTAAGTCAAACACCTGCAGTACTTCAGGGAGTGACTGTAGCCTAAGAATTCAAACTCCTCAATAGACTATTAATAACGTGACAATTGGTACTCATCGTGTTTTTTCTGTCATCGTGGGATCGGATCTTTACCATTATGCTCTATTTTAGTATTAATCTGTCATTACACAAAGCGTGTCAATTAACAACAACGCGTTGATTGACACGTTTTGTCTCTATGTATTAAATTTCAATGTGTTTGTAAGGATTATCTATCATGTCATATATTTAGTAAAAATAAATAGATAATAAAGATAAGATTTTATCTTCTTATATTCGTTAGTAAGATCTTTATAAAATAAACTATTCATTTTTTGAGTTATGTTTTATCTTTCAATGAAATCATTTCTTAATAATCACTATTGTGATAAAATTAACTTGCTCTTTCTTTGAATATGAATTAGGTGCAGACTAGGTCCACACTTGTTTTTGCTAGGGCCACACCCACCCGTGTAAGTTGCCTCGATCAAAGCCGCCGAAGGGGGTTGAAGCGGCATGGCAGCTGAAATAGATCAATAGAACAGCAGCACCGGCGGCAGCGGTACAAGCGGCAGCAATGCGGGAGACAGCGACGGCCGCCGCGGGCCCGCGCCCCTTGAAGCCTCTCGACTACGCTCTCCTCTGCCTCGCGGACGAGCTCGGCTTAGTAGCTGGGTTTGAGGGGACGCGTGTTTTGACGCGCAATCAGTTGTTTGTATGTAGCGGGTGTGGCCGTAGCAAAAACGGGTGGACCTAGTGTGGCACTATGGATTATACTACATTGAGTAACAAGAATGTGACGATAAAGTTTAGTTCTTGTGAGAAAATAATTGCTCTTTGTGTAGAAAATGAAAGAAAGAAAAATTTTGATTTTTCAAATTTTAAAAGATATAATAAAAATTCATTACTACAATAGAAAAAAATTATTTAATTTTATGATTTTTTACAGAAAAATATCATTTTGGATAAATATATTGACATACGGGGATGCAAATTTGATGATTTGAGTGATAAAGTCAAAAGCAATATTGATATTTTCAATTGTTAGTATTATAAAAATAGAATGTATCATTTACATTTTACATGGAATGTTTGAAGAATTTAAATTGTGAACAATTGTAACTATTTTAAGTTACCTAAAATTAAAGACAGGTAAAGAGTAATTGTTAGTTGCCAGCGTCAATTATCTATGCGTTTGTTACAATTATCTGTTGCGTTATCTACCCACTGAGAATTTATTTATCTACTGGTATTTGTTGATAAGAGATATATAATGAAAAATAGACAAATAATTAATTATAATCACTTTTGATTTTGAGTCAACATCCAATAAATCTAAGGTTTATTTTCTTGAACACTTAAGTCAGCCCACGAGAGACAGCCACAATATTAATCAGCGTAAGCTTCATTTTGAGTCACCATCCATGAAATCTAAGGTTTATTTTCCTGAACACTTGAGTCACCGCACGAACAATCACAATATTAATCAGCGTACGCTTGATTTTGAGTCACCATCCATGAAATCTAAGGTTTATTTTTCTGAACACTTGAGTCAGCCCACGAACGACAGCAAAAATATCAATCAGCGTACGCTTGATTTTGAGTAAGCATCCAAGAAATCTAAGGTTTATTTTCCTTAACAGTTAAGGCAGCCCACTAACGACACGACAGCCACAATATTAATCAGCGAACGCTTGATTTTGAATCAGCATCCAGGAAATCTAAGGTTTATTTTCCTGGACTCTTAAGTCAGCCCCCAAACTACAGCCAAAATGTTAATCAGCGCACTCAGAGTAATGCAATCTGTCAACCATAATCTAACTCAGAGACCATTCGAATACTGTTTTACATTTATCTTTGAAGCTCAGATTCGTAAAAATATACATGAAGGCATATCAGCTTGAAATGTTCTAAATTTTAAGCAAACTCGCAGCTGCTGAAACTCCCATGAATGGTAGTCTGAAGCTTTGCATACCCAGCAAGTTTTATCTCTATTCAAAGATCTGGATTACTCGTTGACTTGTTATTGTGTCGTCTTCCCCGTTCATAGAGTACAAAACCCCTCTGATCATAAATCAAGCTACGTGCAAGACACTGAGGTTTCATTTGAAACTAGGAGAAAGTTCAGGCATGTATGTGTCGTTTTGTGATTTACATGTGATACAACTTTGGATCATTCTGAAGACACTATCCATACGGAAGGGTAACAAGCTGCCGCAGTGGTACTTGACAAGTATTTCCTTCAATATCCTGGAAGTCTCATAGGTGTCCAGATGACTAGTCAGTTTGTTCGGAGAACTGAAGCAGCGGGGGAGCTGTATCATCTGGCCCCAGCCTGCTTCGAGCTAGAGACCCGCAATATGACATAGCATGCAGAAGAATACTCGCTAACAGTTAGGGTAAATGCCGGACTGGAACGTAAAGTCCCGTCACTCATACTGATGTATATATGTGCAAAAAGATAAGCATTATTCAAAACTTTCAGGGCCTTCATAACATTGAATCTTACATTATTTCATGGGTCATCGTTTCTTTGTGATTTTCGACTGCTTGCGGCCCCGTTGCCTTCAATTTCGGGTAAATCAAACAACATGAGTTGCATGAGACACGAAAAACTTGCAAACATCATCTTTTGATCGTGATTTGTACGGATTCTCAGTTGGCGTCATTACAACTACGTGATGCAAAACGCATGTTTGGGATAAGCTAACGCGCACACACATCGAAGTGTTTAACATTACATTAAGAGGAGAGAATCACAAATCAACGAGTTATAGTCGAACGAAGACGAGGTGATGTAACGCATTCATACTGTGGAATATTGGTAAAAGAATTTAGTTTTAAAATCTTCCACTTCATATTAATTTTGCGAATAATCTAGCATTGAAGGACTGTTGTCTCTTCACTTTGCATAAATCATTATCATGTTCATGCGTAGTCTTTGTATTGTTAAAAAGCCGTTGAACATACTTGGCATAGGATGTGATTTTAAATCACGTTGATTCCTGTTGTGTTCAAACGCAACTCAAGGTTCTGTCGATGCTCTCATCTGGAAGTTTGCAGTAATACTCTTCCTCCTTAAACTGGCTGTAAGACAAATATCTCATCCACGGCTCCAGCAACGTCAACCAAAGAACTTATTCAGCGTTGCTTCAAAAGTACGGGCAGATTGTAGACAAAGCATACGTGTCCACTGTCACCCGAGCCTCTACATACATTTACTAACGCTTGGTGATGTGTTCTACCTTTTTAGAATTTCCTGTATCTGAAATAGAGGAATTGGACACATTGTATCGCGAGGAAATCATGTGATACTGGTGCGTTCCAGGAATCCAACCTCGACAAATTTTCATGTACAGGTCAATTGCGGGATGAAACTCAGGAGCGGCCGCAGATCTCAGCCGTTCATATGCAAGTTCCATTTCAGCAATTCTGTCGTGCAGTAGTTCGACTACAAGCTCTCCTGCTTGTGTGTAAGATTGGCAGTTGTATTCATGAAATATGACAAACACCAAAGTGTTCTTATGGTCATTGTTCAATAGTTCCTGTATAAGAAACGACCATCGGAGATAAGTAAGCTCGAAGTCGAGACACTATTTCGTATAATTATCAGGGACTGCTTACGTCAAGGAGTGAAGTAGTGTAAAGTCACCCGTCTGGCCGAGTGAATCTGAGAGACACATATGATGCGGAGTGTGCTGCACTGAACGTACCTTCTGGAAACCGAAAATGTCATTATGCCAACATACGATGTCAGTAATAGCGGCCAGCATATTCTGCATATCTTTTCCGTAGAACAAGCTGTCGGGAAGATGGCAAATCGGAGATTTCCTTCTTTTATGCTCAATCATCCGATCTGAGAAAACCTGCAGTAGACGAAAGCCCTCAACACTTCTGCAATTATACCTTTTATCCGAACAAAAGAAGGAAAGAAGAGAAAAGGTCCGTGATGTTATCTGTAACTCACAATTAACGCCCACACTCCTCCGGCTTGTCGTCGAAGGCTGATGTAATCAGACACACTGAGCTTTGTTCCTTTCATTCGACCTATTTGTTCTGAGAGACAGCCCGTGATGTACTGTTGAAATGCCTCAGCCTCTCTCGACATACACTCAACAGGCAGATCTTCGATATATTCCAGCCACAGCTCTCGAAATCCCGACATGAAAGCTCCCAAATTGACATCGAGAACTGCGAGATTTGGAGCAATAGTTAGTCAGCTTCATCACACAGCTTCATCTCAAATTTAATTCAACCTGACTCGCAGCTTATTTATGAATCCTAATTCTGAGGTGGATTATTTCGAAGCTCAGGCCCTCATGGCTGTCTGACGGTATGCTTCCTTCTAACATGCAACTTACTCTCCGCAGGGCTTATATCCCATTGACCGTGGCCATCAGTTCCAGCATGACAATACAATTCATTGGACAAATCAGTAGTTGACGTTAACAGAAGACAGGTCATAATCGGGAGAGATTTTTCGTCCAAACATTACGTGATTTCGCTTTGTTCCTGGCATGCACCAGATCTGCATGAATTGTGTGGAGCTGCGCGCGTTTTCTGGAAGCCTCAGTCTCCATCAACGTATCCAGAATAGATTTCAAGCCTTCCAGTAAGCGCTCGTTGTCAGGGTCATTCCACAAGAGAACCAAATTCATATCTAAAATTACATCACTCGACCAATCTATCCGGTCTGCCCATTCACCGTCATCCAGCTTGCTATCGAAAGCAAAGAAGCATTGAACCCATTTGCAGAGCCAAAGGAAATCTTTGGGCTCTATATCGTCATAGACAAAGCCGATATACTCAGAGAATTTGGCCGCCATACACGATTGCCACATACTTGGACCCAGCTCCTTATCTATGCCCAAAGAAACGATCCAGTCATTGGAAATGTCATGGCACTGCGCAGCCAAGGGGTTGAGTCGGGCCTTCGGGTAACGGTGCTGGAAATCTGGGACTCTGAAATCGTTCTCAAAACTTCTGCGGATATCATTTGCGTACAGGTCGCTCTTCGACTGCCTTAGAAATCGTCCTTCTCTGAAATCAGATCTGATGCTCAAGACAGTAGAATCCGAGTCTAAACTTGGGGCCATCGCAGACGTGTTCCTAAGTGTGAAGCTACTCTGATTACAAGCTGTACCGAAGTAAGAAAATCAGTCTAAAACGTCAGTGATTTAAGGACGAACTCCGACAGCTTCCTTAAATACATAAACCTTTCGGCTCAGTTCCCCCAGTTCATCATCCCAACAGAATTCAGGTTCTGGTACAGAATCTGGTTTCTTTGAGTAGATTCTTTTTTACGACATTCTTCTGAGGACTCTGCCGACCAGACGCTCATACCGACACGCAAATACACGTTCACGTTGAAATGTGTTTGCACACCAATAAACGGACACCGACACTAATTGTAACGCTCGTAAGACCACTCGTACAATCAAAATTCCGGGAATTGCATTAAGCGCCAACGCTGAGCTCCATTATCATTGTTATCAGAGCGGTCGTGGAATCAAACCACAGGAATCGCACAGAGTGGCAACGCTGAGGTTCACGGTCAAGCTGATTGCAAAGACTTGCCGCCCACGCAGCATGTCCTTTTGGGCAAATGTACGAAGAAAACAGAAACTATATCTTTCTTAAAATGACTTTTTCATATTTCGATAGTATCGATTGGAGAGGACAATGTTAGAAGTGTCAATAAACAGTTTCCACTAAATGTGTATACACATTGAAGTACAATCTCACTGACCGAATCTGAACTTTTTACAATTCCAAGTTGGTGAAAATTGAGTCGATATGAAAAAATTGTGGATTACAATGAACTGTATCATCCAATTTTTATGATTGCACATACTAGTGAAACATCACAAAGAAACGAATTATTTGCGATGAAAAAATAAATTTGAATCTTGATGATATCATTGTACGTAGGTTTATCAGTCGAGTGACGGCATTCCAGGTTCCAGTACGTTGCGTCCTCTAACTATTTTCCGGTATTCCCTTTGCGTGCTATCATATTAACATCGTGCCTTCTGCCTCCAGCATGATGCGAGCTCTCCAGCTCACATCATGCTGGACGCACAAGATACGGGTGATTGCATATTCTCCACCTCGCGGGAGAGTTTTGTACTCTCAGGACTATTCCTGGAGAAAGAGATTTAATATTGATTTGGATTTGCAAAAAACGAAGCGGCTAATAAGAGATAACAGTTGAGGTTTCTTAATGAAACTAAGAACTTGTGAATGTGATGAATCCGGGTGCCAGAGGGAGACCAGTATGACAAAAGGACATCAGATAAATCTGGAAGAGATATGTTCTGATCTTCGTCCTCTGAAACAGCTTGCTTATATACTTGTGGTCCTGCGCGTTGACATAGACTTTTGGAACTTAGGCGCTAAATGTCAGGTAAGATGTATCGTCATTGATAAAGCACATGGCGAGACTTCGAGGTAGTTGGAGGATATTTTGGTCGCTAGTTCCCTTATGTCCAATATATGGTAGTTGCGCAGGCCGTTTTGCAATTGCTGCATCTCGTTTCTTTCTGTACTCAGACTGAAATCAGAGCAATTGTTCTGACGCACGACTTGGAATAAGACTGGTGATTTAAAGGGTGTTGTTCGTGAGACTATTCATGTATTAAGAAGAATTTTGTTGAAAAATCAATTTCCAGGAAGTCTTGTACATGGGTAGTTCTACGCGGAGTCTTTCCACCAGCTGTCCCACATGAGTACACGGATTCCATGTAAAGTCAACTTTTCGTTGCGTGAAGTTCCCATAAAAATTGCTTGACTGTCGTCGCTTGAGTTGGCTTCAATAACCAACCCTTTAGGTCCAGTCAGTGTGAGATGCAGTTTCAACTCAAAAACTGAAGCCTTCAAATCAACGTAGGTTCCATCACAAATTATAAGATTCAATCCTATAAAGACCCTGAAAGTTCTGAAATTTACTTACATTGCTGATAATTTGAAGTATAGCTAACAATCTTCTGTGTGAAATTGGTATTGCGGACTTGGATAAATTCATAACAGTCGATTTGTGTAAATGAGTATTATGATTTGATGTATTATTTTGATTCACTTTCCGACTTCCAGCAAATTACAATCCAATTCATCAGATTCTCTATGGCTTGAATTGGATGATAGTGCATTAGGTTCTTTTCTATTGGGGTTATTTCATCTCCTCATGCATTGGCATCAATCACACCAATCAGTGTCAAGCTCATATAGAGATGAACTCTTGAACCTTGAGTGTTGAACTTTAGGTAAGATGTACTGTTCGTTGATATAGCAAAAATGAGACGTAAAGGATATTGAAGGAAATTCTGTATGACCTTCCCTCACCCTGCATATGGTTGTTTTCAGTAATGCAAATAAGTGATTGTCCTCACGCTTGATTTTGGGTCAGCATCCAGGAAATCTAAGGTTTATTTTGCTGAATACTCAATAAGTAAGCCCACGAACAACAGCCGCAATTTAAATTAACGTACTCAGAGTAATGCAATCTGTCGAGCATAATCTAACCGAGACCTTTCGAGTATTGTTATACTTTTACCCTTGAAGTTCACATTCATAAAAATGTACATTAAAGCATAACATCTTGAAATGTTCTGAAGCTGAAGGACACTCGATGCTACTCAAACTCCCATGAAAGGGAGTCTCAAGCTTTGTATATTCAGAAAGTTTTATGATTATTCAAAGAACTGGATTACTCGTTGACTTCTTATTGTGTCGTCTTCCCCGTTCAAAGAACGAAAAACCCTCTCTGATCATGAATCAAGCTTTGTGGAAGTAGAAAGTACAGGCAGATAGATGAGAGGCTTCCAGATGAGGACAAGGCTTGGCATTGTTCATAATCTTGGAGCTATCTAGAAAACATATAATTTTAGAGTTATAGATTAAAACTCAGTACATAGGGTTTGGACACAGATCTTCCTCGTCACAAATTCAGCTCCTTTGAAAGGATGGATTTTGATACGCATGATCATGCCGTCTTCTAGTGGCTACAGAGGAGAACAAAGGAGAGAGGACTTTGTGTGGAATTTTGAACCAGTAGATATTGGACGGGACGGGAGTAACTCAGAAATGGCGAGATGTGGATTTCTATCATTAATCTCGCCTTAATCTCTATCATTAATCTCATAAGTCTTACCTGCACGGTTCTCTACACATTTACAAGCTTCACACGTCATACACACAAGAGTGAAGGCTGTTACATGGAGAGGAATGCTTGTACGTAGTTCCCCTATCCAACGCATGGTTGTGATTAAATCGGTTAATGCTGCAACTTTCTTCTGTGACTACTCAAATTAAAATGTCTTGACTGCCGTCGTTTGACTCTGAATTTCCAGTGTTTAGGTCCATTCAGTGAGTCCAAAATCAGAACATTTCCAATACACATGCTCAAGAAATAGGAAATGGAAGATTATTTGAAGTTTTTGTTGTTGAACTGAGAATATCTTGAATTCATTTTTATTGAAGATTTGGAACGAAAGTTACCACATTATGAATCGTGACTGATTCTTAGTCAAATCCGTATGTTCTTCAATTAAAACCTGCAAGTAAATAGCATTTAACTGAATGCTTATGAGACGTTTAATGTTCGAATCTAGTTATTGCATATTTATACTTGTGTTGTTATTTCAAGTAATAAATTAAAATAGATTCAAGAATATATCAAATGTAACGCGGGAACATATACTTTTGTTAAGCTAATGCGCACATACGTCAAACTGTTTAACATTCCATGAAGAAAAAAGAATCACAGATTAACGAGCTGTACTCGAACGCACACGAGGTGATGTTACGCATTCATAGAGTGGAATATTGGTGAAAGAATTCAGTTTTAGAAAATTTCACTTCAAATAAATTCTACGAATAATCTAGAATTGGAAACTAGTTGTTTGTTCACCTTGCATACATCATTTTTCACGTTAATGCGTACAGTCTTTGTATTGTTAAAAAGCCGTTCAACAGACTAGGCATAGGATGTGATTTTAAATCACGTTGATTCCTGTTGTGTTTGAAGGCAACGCAAGGTTCTGTCGATGCACTCATCTGGAAGTTTGCAGCAATACTCTTCCTCCTTAAACTGGCTGTAAGACAAATATCTCATCCACGGCTCCAGCAACGACAACCATAGTTCTTATTTAGCGTTGCTTCAAAAGTACGGGCGATTGTAGACAAAGCATAGGTCTCCACTGTCACCCGAGGCTCTACATATATTTACTGACGCTTGATGATGTTTTCTACCTTTTTAGATTTTCCTGTATCTGAAATAGAGGAATTGGACAGAACGTATCGCGAGGAAGTAATGTGAAACTCGTGCGTTCCTGGCATGCACCAGATCTGCATGAATTGTGCGGAGCTGCGCGCGTTCTCCGGAAGCCTCAAATGCCATCAACGTATCTAGAATGAATTTCAAGCCTTCCAGTAATCGCTCGTTGTCAGGTTCATTCCGCAAGAGAACCAGATTCATATCTAAAATTACATCACACGACCAGTCTATCTCTTCTGCGTATTCACCGTCATCCAGCTTGCTATCGAAAGCAAATAGGAATGTATTGAGTTTGCAGAGCCAAAGGAAATCTTGGGGCTCTATATTGTCGTAGACATAGCCCACAAGCTCAGAGAAATTGGCCGCCATACACGATTGCCACATACTTGGACCCAGCTCCTTATCTATGCCCAAAGAAACAATCCAGTCATTGGAAATGTCATGGCACTGCGCAGCCAAGGGGTTGAGTCGGGCCTTTGGGTAACGGTGCTAGAATTTTGGCACTCTTTAGTCGTTCTCAGAACTTCTGCGGATGTCATTTGCGTACAGGTCACTCTTCGACTGCCTTAGAAATCGTCCTTCTCTGAAATCAGATCTGATGCTCAAGACGGTAGAATCCGAGTCTAAACTTGGGGCCATCGCAGACGTGTTCCTGAGTGAAGCTATTCTGACTACAAGCTGTATCGAAGTAAGAAAATCAGTCGAAAACGTCAGTGATCTACGTACGAAATCCGACAGCTTCCTTGGATACATAAATTTGAAGGCTCAGTTCACCCAGTTTATCATCCCAACAAAATTGAGGTTCTGGTCAAGCATCTAGTTTCTTTTAGTAAATTCTTCTGAGGACTCTGCGGACCATACGCTCAAACGGATACGCAAATACAC